AACAAAAAACGGGTCACACAGCAAGTCAGCTACAGAGAAAGGAATAAAAAACGTATCTACTGAGTGTAGATTCCTGTACTCTATACTTTTCTCATATCTGTTATTAATTTTATAGTTCTCAAATTGATCTACAAGTCAACTGCAAACTTTGTGGGTTTACAGACAAAATCTTTCATATTCAGAGACCCAGACTACATAAAGAACCAGATTCAGGTATTTATACAAGGAATAATTTCTGACAAGTGTAGTCTTACAAAGTGTCCTAAAGAAGTATAAGTGTTGGTAACTGATGCCTGTAACTCAGACATGAGTTCTAGGATGGAGTCACGCCTCTTCCTGATACTAATTTACATTCCCAGTAACACACACTGAACATTTATCCTTCAAACAATGTTTTCTCTCCTTGTTTGTCACCATTCACCATTGTTAACAAAACAGATAAAGGCAAAGTTTGGTGATACAAACAAATTTTCTCTGTTATTTGAGCAGATACATGTGAAGACTGCTCTTTGAACACCCTGGATCTAAAAACAGAGAAGTCACTAATACCTTCAAAGGTATTCATATTGAAGGTGGCATAGCTAAATCCTATCTGTAAAGTGTAGGTCACTTACCCTAATTTGTGAAGCAACTCAGGATCGTCCAAAGCAGAGGTGCTGTATTCAAAGTATAGCTTACCCCTACTGATAACCTGAAGTGAGAAAGGATGTGGAGAGAAGAGAGGTGTAAGAGAAACATTACCCAGCTGAGACAGTTTTCAGTTCGCCTATATATGCGTTCTCTGCAAAGTCTAATTAAACAGCGAGGATGATAGTTGGCGGCTGCCTAGGGACCCCCACCTGAGGGTCTCTCGGTCACCTGGGATGCCGGACGCGAGCAAAGCAACAGCTTCACCCCCTTATCTGGCAAACAGCTGGGCACAGGAATGAGAGCCTGGCGGTCCCTACCACGGAGGGCAGCTGAGGCGGTCGGCAGGGCTCCCTGAGAAGGGGTGAAGGCGAGGAACCTCTCTCCCCGACTGGCTGGAGAGAACGGGAATCCTGTCCCCTCAGCAGCTCGCCGCCTGGCTCTGGGGCCCGTTGCCCTTAGTGAGGAGCCTCTTCGCTTCTCTCCACCCACACCGGCTCCTCGCGTGCGGCTGCCGCTGCTTTCCCTCGCTTGGATTTAAACTACCCGCCCTTACCAACCGCTGCCGCGCTGCCTCCCCCGCC